CTCTCTCTCTCTCTCTCTCTCTGTGTGTGTGTGTGTGTGTGTGTGTGACACACTAGCATGGAGGTCAAAGGACAACTTGTAGAGGACAGTTCTTTTCCTTTACTCTATATAGTCTGGGGATTGAACTTCCGTTGTTATGCCCAGTGGCAAGAACATTAACCACACTGAACCATCCAACAGGATCTTTTTATTTTTCATTAATTTGAGACCTGTATGCATCCCATCTCACTACATAGCTCTAGTTGGCCTGGAACTAAGTGTATAGGCAAAGCCTCAATCTCATAGAAATCTACCTGCCTTTGCCTCCTGAGTGTTGGGATTAACTTATTAAAATTTTTATATGAACATAATGTTTATCCTTTTTTGGGTAAATAAGAATAGAATTTCTGGGGTATATGATAAGTGTAACTTTTAAGGAAATGGCCAAAGCATTTTCTTTTTTAAACAATTTATTTATTACTAAATGTTTTTTATATCCTGAGTGCAGTTTCCCCTCCCTCCTCTTCTCCCATTCTCTTTCCTCATCTCCTTTCTGCAGCCCCCCACCAATCTGCTCCTCCCAACAAAGCATGGCATATTAAGTTCTGGTAAGACTAAGCATCTCTCTTGTATTTAGGCTGGGCAAGGCAATCCAGTATGAGGAATAGGTTCCCAAAAGCCAGCGAAAGCGTTAGGGGCAGCCCCTGCTCCCATTGTTAGGAGTTCCCCTAATAGACCAAGCTCTACACAACTGTCACATATATGGAGAGGGCTTAGGTTGGTCTCCAACCCAAGGAAATTAGCTATAACTGTGAAAACACAGGCAATAGATAATCCCACAACAGCAAACCCCAAAGAAGGGAAACACACACACACACACACACACACACACACACACACACACACACACCCCACCAGTAACAACAACAAATAACAGGAATTAACAATCACCAGTCATTATTGCCTCTCAATATCAATGGACTCAATTCTCTAATAAAAAGACACAGGGTAACAAATGCATACAAAAACAGGATCCATCCTGCTGCATACAAGAAACACACAACTCAATGTCAGAGATAGACGTTAGCTCAGACTAAACGGTTAGAAAAAGATTTTCCAATGAAATGTACCTAAGGAGCAAGCTAGTATAGCTGTCCTAATATCTAACAAAATAGACTTCAAAGCAAAATTAATCAGAGATGGAGAGGGACATTTCAAGGACAAATCCACCAAGATAATGTCTAATTTCTGAATGTCTATGTTTCAAATACAAGGGCACCCACATTTATAAAAGAAACATTACTAAAAGCTTAAATCACATATTGAATCCCACACATTCCAAGTGGGAGACTTTCACCAATGGACAGGTTGTCCAGACACAAACTACAGAAATAATAGATGTTATGACTGTTGTTTTGCTGCAGCTGCATGAACCACAAAACTCAATAAGACCCACATGGAGTTTATTGGGGAAAGGGAACAAAGGGAGGGGTAGGTGTTGTCCACCTGGGAACAGGGATGGAAGGGGAAGTAGGGAAAAGGAAGGGCGAACAGGAGGGAGGTGCTTACTTTAAAGGGAAAGCTTGCACATGTGCACACAGCCACATATCTTATGACGTAACCACGCAACACAGGGCCCTTTGAGCTGTCTAAGTATCTGCCTGAATGCCAGTGTGTGTCCCTTGCCAGTTGCCAGGCGGTGGGGTCAGCATAATGCCTGAATCCTTACAATGACCCAAATGGGTCTAACAGGTGTCTACAGAATGTTTCACCCAAACACCAAATAATATGCCTTTTCTCAGCACCTCATGGAACCGTCTCCAAAATTGACCACATAGTTAATAGGTACAGAAAAATTGGAATAACCCCCTGTATCTTATCATATCACCATGGATTAAAGTTGGAGTTCAACAAAATATTTTCTAAAATGGCCGAACCATGTGATACTCCAGCTAACAGCAATCTTGGAAGTAAATACTTCTTGCTCTTGGCAGCAATATTGGATCAGTCATTCAAATTGAGTTGTAGAATCTCATTGAGTTCACAATCTGTGTATCCCTAATGGTTATTTTTATGCACTTTGTTAGGGAGGTCCACTCTCAGGTCTGATGATGCTAGGACGACTCACAGCTCTCAGCATATAACCATAAAGCTCTAATGATTTACACAGAGAAGACCAACACAAAGGAGAGCTACTCAGGCTGAAGGCTATTGGGAAGCAGAGTCTTTTGCAGAAGGAAGCCTTGCCAAAGGTCTGGTTAACCACCCAACAAATGAAAGGCTGTCTAGTAGGGAATCTCAGTAGAGAATCAGTTCTTAGGGTTCTTTCCCCTCCCCTCCCCTCCTAGCCCTGTGTCTTTTCTCTTTCCCTTCTCTTCACTTTCTTACCCAATGCCCTTCTCATTTGAATCTGAAAGGAGATTGAGTGTGTCCTGCTACAATACAAAAAGCCAGCCTTGCTTGTGAACAGTGGAAGCCATTGTGGTGTCAAAGAACTTGGTAATGAACTAACTTGCTGATAGAGTGGCCATGATTTTCATCTCTAAAGGGCTTTTTCACCGAGAGGCTGATTCAGAAGTTTATACATGATCACGCTGGTAGGTACCTTCTCCTGAGTGGAGCTTTGTGGCTCAGTGGCTCATCTCTGATCCTAAATGTTTATTAATCACTGTGTGTATGGTGTGGTGGTGTGTGGACTACTTTGTGAAGTCAGTTCTTTTCTTCAGCTTTACATGGTTCCAGGATCGAACCTGGCTTCATGCCAAGCACATTGACCCATCACGCTGGACCCTAACAGCATAGTCGTGACATCCTCTACAGTTTTGCAAATCTTCATTTCCTCAGGCTGTTTTTAGCACTGATTGGTTTGCTCTTGTAGTTCCTGACAAACTCAAAGGGCAGGGTAGAGGAAGGGCAGCCTGTGGTCCCTTTGCTCATCACACCTTTATAGTCACTGTAATGCAAAAAGCACTCATTACCTGATCATTTTGGATGACAAGGGCCACGAGAGGGTAGTGAGTTGGTCAATTGTACTTACCTCAAAATTTGGCTTCACGTCTGGTAGCAGGTTCATGAATACATAGCAAGGTTTAAGTAGCAGTGAAAAGAATGCCAGTCTCCAGCACCAGTTATTTTGTAAGAAGGACATTGTAGATCCTGGCCCTTGATAATGAACAGTGTGTGCCCATGGCAGACCCTATCCTTGCAGGATTTGGTTTGGCTTCCAAAAGTTCCCATTTCTCTGAGGCCTTCTTCCTCCCCTTGTCCCATCTCACATTTCTACATTCCCCCTTTACCATAAAGGCAGGAAGCAGCTTTGCTGTTCTTAAGAATGATGGTTAAACATTGTGCCTGTTTGAGTTTGTGTCTTTGACTTTCTACAACCCAGGTTGGGAAACTACAGTTAGATAGTAAATATTATAGCTTCTGTGGGTAAAGAGGCAAAATCAGGAACGTTTCTGTAGAATGTAACAAAATTCAAATCTTTATAGACAGTGAAATTAGAATTTGATGTTTCACAGTTCATGTAATGTTATTTTAATTTTTTCAATCATTTAAACATGTCAAACATTCTTAACTCAGTGGCCCTACCAACCAGCTCCCAACTGAGCGTGGACAGCCGGTAATGATTTGCTGACTTCTGTTTTAGTCTGGCATGGAAGAAAAACCTAAAACAGCGCACACAACAAGTTAACACTGCTGCAATCTACGGTTCCTCAGACCTCTGTGGACCAGCCTGACATCTGAATTCCAGCCCTTGGGCCCTCAGGGTGAACAGGGAGAACCACCTTCTCCAGGCTGTCCTCTGACCTCCACAGGAGTTGTGGCACACTCCTGTGGCTCTTTCTACTTAGGATCTGCAATAAATAAATGTAAATAAGTAAGGAAGAAAGAAAGAGAATCAATAATGTTTAAATCCAAACATTGTACTGTAGAAGTATATTATATAGTATATTCCTGTACATTTTTGTTTGCTTTTGAGAAGGGGAAAGGGCTATGCAGCCCAGGTTTGTGTTCTTGCCTCATTATTCCAGGTGTAGGGGTTCTAGGCTCGTGCTACCACCGTCCAGCTCTAAAGCGGTGGTGCCTTTGACCTCAATTTATCATCAGAACAAGCTGCTAGCTTGTGAAAACATGATCCCCAGACTCATTTTGTCTTTGCTTCTTTGAAATAGAATGCAGTCTCACTTTACAACCCAGGCTGGTCTTGAACTTTTGACAACTTACCTGCCTCAGCCTGCCTGTGGGGGGTCACAACCTAAGCCATTATATCATGCTCACATTGGGGCTTATTTGGTAAAGGGGATTCCAGGGCAGATACCTACAGTGCTTTTCAGGACCAGGTTAGCTGTAAGGGGTGAGAGGTCAGAGGGCAAAATCGAATCTTCTAAGCTGTGGTCCTTGAAGTGTGGGCTATGGTCCAGTATCATCAAGAACTTGTAAGAGATGCATGTTTTCTGGGGTCCAGATCTCAGAAACAACAGAAACTCAGGGTGGGGCCTGGCAATCTGGTTCTCATCAAGCCAACTGGTTCTAATGCTGCTAACATTTGAGAAGCCCAGCTTCCAGGCATCATTACCAGCAGCTGCAGAGGCATTGCACCACCTGAGCAAAAGGGGTGGGCCCTCTCAAAGGGCTTTGTTCTCAAGAACAGAGGGAGAGGCCTGTGGTTGAGAGCAATTCCAAGATACAGTGCAGCCAAGGCACAGGTTTTCCAGGAAGAGCTAGAAATCGGATTCAGGGTCAACATTCTGGAGGTCAGGGCATGCATTTTCTTAAGGAGTACAAAGTGTCTTAGAGATGGCAAGCGCCACCTTAACAAAATATGTTTCAGTGTCTTTGCATTATGTGACATGGATTAACTCTGGGACCCAGAGGCTTTCCAAAGCCCTCCAACATAGCCTCCATCTTCCTTCCAGGGTCACGTGGGAGAGTCTCGGTCTTGGGTCTGCCCGTGAGGTCCTGTGAGAGGTCTGACCTCACAAGAGGCCCTTGTGATGTCAATGCCACATCAAGATGCCCTCCTCTGTGAAGGTCACAGAGGACTTAGTCTGGACCCTGCGGCTTGCAGGGGCCAGGCTGCTGGTGGCAGGTGCGTGCTTCCAGTGGCAGGGGTCGGGGAAGCATGCAGACGTGAGCCGGGCTGGCGAGCTGTCTGTGCTCGGTGCTGCTTGTTTGCGCAAGACCGCCGCTTCAGGAAGGGAATAGACTACAGAATTTTCCAAAAGAGCCACCAAAATTTTCTTCTGAACAGCATCTACTAAGGTCCTTGAGAAGTGTGTGGTGGTGGACTCTCGGAAGTGAAGGATGGTGAAGCGGAAGTGCATCTGTGATCTCTGCTCCTGCGGGTAAGGTAGTCCCCCCCAGGGTCAATATGAGGGTGAGGGCTTGATTTTCACACTCCCTAGGGAGCCAAGCCTGTTTCCTGGAGAGAAGATAGACAATTTTCTTCATCTCCCTCCTTCCCTAGGCAGCATCACACTGGATACTGGTTTTTAGGCTGCATTGTTTGTCAACTAGCATTTGATGCACACATGTTGAAAAAGTGTGCTCATGTTGAGGCATTTTTCTGTGGTCCTGCAGGGTAGAGATTCAGGGACCTTGAGAGTGGACCCGGCCAAGCCTTGTCTACATACTGTCAGACAGGCTAGAACCCTGGCCAGGTTGAGGCCAACACTGTTTATTAGGTATTGATGGCTAGTGTTGTTGCAATTCTTAGGACAGGGGAGAGTTGTTTTATGTGGGTGAATTTCCCACTTACAGAAATTGGTCCTTTGACTGGGAAGCACAAGGCACTGGCTCTAGCTGGTGCAGTGTTGACCTGAACAAGGATCACAGGGGAAAGTACTCTTCAGTCTCCTGCCCAAGCTTGGCGGGATGCCTTCCCACCACTTGCCTTTAGGAAGGACCATGTTAAGGGGAAGAATAGTGAAGGCAGGGCTTTGGGGAGAAATTTTGGGCCGCCATGTCTGAGGCGGTCCTTTGTTTTCCCAGGACAATTAGAGAGCTGCAGCCAGGGTGGGCTCTGGATTTGCTTCCCAGCCTCCCGGCTAAGATGAAGTGAAGCAGGTGGGCTCCAGGGTTGTCCCTAACTGTGGCATCTTGGACAGCAACTGAACTCAGCATTAAAATTTCCTTAGGAGTCTTTCCCTCAGAGGACTAGTATAAATAGATAGTGTGTCCCTGCTGCACAGGGACTCTACTTCCCCTGTTAGTGTATGGAGATCTGCAAAAAGGGTTTTCCAACTGTCCCATGTTACATGAAATAACATAAGGACTGTATTTGGGAGACTAGGTTAAGGACACTCTGAAAGCAGAACCCTTTGAAATCTCTGGAGTTTGAGCAGTCAAGGCTGCAATCTAGTCTCTGAGTCTACTGGAGAGCTTGAAAACAGGTGTCATTGCTTCTGCTTAATGAGCAATCTCAAAGGACAGTCACACCAGCAGTCTACAGATACGTCCTGACATTTCTCAGGACTCTGAACTCTGTCACATACAAGTGTGGCCCTTGCTGTCAGGATTTGTCTGGTGGGACTGCAACAGTGTCCAGGGCTAAGTTTTTGAATTATCGAAAACTCAGTTTTTGTTTAAGACTCGCCTCCTCTTGGGGCCTTTTTCATCTCTCCTTGGTTCCCACTCTGCTCATAGTTTTGGGGTTGAAGTCTTTGAGTTCCATCTCTGCACAGCATGCAGTCTAGGTAGGAAGGCAGGGCACTCACTGGAGAGGCTTAGCATATGCAGTCAGATGACATTCCACCTATCTGGGTGCTCATGAACACAATTTTATCTTATTAAAACTCTTTTTGTGTGTATATGTGATTTTGCTTTCTTTTCCACAAAAGGTTTTTCTGTGTAATCCTGGCTGTCTGGAATTCTTTCTGTAGACCAGGCTGACTTAAAATTCAAAGACCCACCTGTCTTTGCCTCTTGGGTGCTGGGATTAAAGGTGTGTGCCAACATAGCCAGCCAGCTGGTATGCATATAGATGCAAACACATGAAATAAAAACCTTACCATCCTGCACTGCAGATGTGGAACATGCGCATCACCTCAAAGGTCTGCTGGTCAAGGCTGCACCTTCTCTGGTCCTACCCCACTTAGATGCACCCAGAGGATGTTGGGGTAGAATGGATTTTGTAGGGGTTTTCAGCTCTAGAAGATTGTGGAGATCTCTAACCTAAGGAGAACTTGAAGCAGGATCTGGAAGAAAGGTCTGTGCAATGATCTCCCTTGGGGAAGAGAGTTTCCAGCAACAGAGGGGAGACTGGAACTTCTGAGGGAGTCACCTGGCCACCTCTTTTTAATGCAGAGATAGCTCTGAAAACCAGGACTTCTGGTTAGAGTGAAGATGTAGCCCCCCCCCCCCTTACTCCCCTTTCCCTATTTTATTTCCTTTTCAAAAAAAAAAAAAAATATATCATGTAGCCCTGGCTGGTCTGAAACATACTGTGTAAGGCTTTGAACTCTTTTCTTCTTGTCTCTATTCCCCAAGTCCTGGGATTACCACTGTACCACTATTCCCAGCTTTCCTTTGGTTTTGAGTTTTGTTGTGTAGCCCAGGCGAGCCTTGAACACGTTGCCCTCCTGCCTCAGCCTTCCCACTTCTGGGATTGTAGGCATGTGCCACCATGGATGTCTCCTTAAATGTGCTTTCAGTTCAGCTATAGTACAGGGTACTCATTAATGGGGGAAGGCTTCATTTGTCATCTGCATAAGGTTTCCATCCAAAAGAGCCACTATCTCCTGGGAACCAGCCCCCAAAGGACAAGTTCTTAAGTTTGGCCACAAGATGGCAGCCTTTTCTCAGCCAATCCTCATCACTGGTTTAGCCCGTCTATCCTAAGTGGAAAACAAAACCTTTGGGGTTCTGAAGTTTCCTTCCTTGAATTTTGTTTTTAGTTTTTTAAAAATAGGTTCACCAAAAGTTTTTTAAAATGAGAAACTAGTTAGTATTCAGGGCCTAGCTTAGCTGAGGAAGGTGTTATTCCTCAAGGAGCTGAATATGTATAACCAAAGATACCTACTTTACAGGCTTAAGGAAACCAGCTGTGCTTTGCTATATCAAAACACACGCCACAACCAAAAGCTGGCAACTAGGACTCTACAACTGTATATTATAACCTTTTAAAACATGATCAGTACCAAATAAGCAAAAGTGAGCATTCATAGGTTACAGAAAGACAGTATGGTCAACAGTTTAAAAAACTCAGCCATTGTTTATTTCCATATAATTGCAGTGTGTGTGTGTGTGTGTGTGTGTGTGTGTGTGTGTATGCATGCATGCATGAACGCACATGTGCATGTGTATGTAGGTATGTTTTAGTAAAGTAACCCCACAAGAGGGGATAATGTTTCCAATTGCATCTGAAACCACCTGTTTTGCCTGTTGTTGAATAAATTCCCACTTTGGAAGTTACACAATCTTAAAGACTAGAAAATTCAGAGCGATTTCTCTCATCATGGTGGTTGTCAGCATGGGACTAAGGCTTAGGAAGGAGGTTTGATTCATCACCTTAGTCTGCTCTCCCTTGGGAAGCTTTTTAGTTTACTTCCTTGTCCTTTCCCAGTCTCCAGCTCTCTTAGCTTATAAGATAAGGAAACGGAAGCACTGAGCTGAAGTTGAGGGATGCATTTTGTTAAGATTGGACATACAGTAGGTTGAAATTGTGTCCACATTTAACTGCATATCAGACATCACTAGATGTTGAACTTCAGTCTGGTGTAATTTCAAATAAAACAGATCCACTTTTTCTTCTTTCTGTTTCTTTCCTTCCCAGCAGGGGCTCCCTATGTAGCCCTGGCTGGCCTTGAATCTATGAGTCTTCTGCTTTATCTTATATGGGCTTTAAGATATACCCATAGCTTTAAGATATACCTGTAGGGTATATCTTAAGGTGTTTGCTATCGAGCCTGATGATTTGAGTTTGGTTCTTGGAGCCCACACACTGGAAGGAGAGAACAGATTTTCACAAGCTGCCCTCTGATCTCCACACATGTGCCACGATGCCACGGCACACATGCACATTGACACATACACACATGAGATAAATGAGTAAATCTAAAAAAATTTGAAGCAGCTGGAAAAGATGGCTTAGTGCTTAAGGGGACTCACTGCAGAGGACCCAAGTTTAGCTCCCAGTGCCCACACGGCAGCTCACAGCCGTCTGTAACTCCAGTTCTGGGTATTTGATGCCCTCCTTAGGCCTCTTTCAGCACCAAGTACACACATGCGCATAGACGCTCAAACACAACAGAGAAACAAAAGTTTATAAAATACACACGTTTTAAAAACTAGGAAGAAGGGTGTGTGTGCACGCGCGTGTGCATGCGTGTGTGTGCATGTATGTGCATGTGAGTTAAGGTGCCCTTCGGGGGGTCACAGATATCAGGTTCCTCTGGAGCTGGTATTACAGGTGGTTGTGAGCCGCCCAGTTTGGGTGCTGGAATTGTACTCCGTCCCTCTACAAGGGCAGTTTATGCTCTTAGCCACTGAGGCATCCCTTTAGTCCCTGACATATATCATCTTAATTTTGGTTAGTATTGTGTGCCAAACTCGGGTTCTCACATATCCCAGGCTAGGATTCTATTGCTGAACGGTGGCCACACTGAGCCATTGTTTTTGCCCATTGATTACAATATGAAGGCTCCTGTCCATGTCAGAAGTACTATGTGATGTAAAACATATAGCAATCCTAAGCTTTTTAGTAAAGCAATGTAAACAGCAAATCTTCCTCCTGAGATTAGAATGCAGTTCCTCTACTTTTTCTAAAATATTGATAAGAAATGTAGATGTTAACAAAGGAATTGAGATAGCTTACTTTTATATCTTATTATTTTATGGCTTACTGTGCACCATTTAAAAGAGTTTGTGTACAGGAAATTCCAGGACAGGATAACACCAGGACAGGGTAACATATCATGGAATATTTATGTAGCATTGGTCATATGTGCAGCATCTCATAAAGAAGGTAGCCCCAGAGAGGACTGGCCAATTGCTTTGAAGGATGTTGATTTGGCTGTTTTCTGGGAGCGTGCGGAGGAAGGTGATCTCCAGGTCAGACATGTATCTGCAACTTAAATCAGTTATGTGAACCAGGGAGGAACTTGTTATTTTAATTTTAGAAAATATTTTTTTCACATTGATGGAAATTTCTTTAACCTTAGATTTTATTTTCTTAGAGTTTCTGTTACAAATTAAGAGGAAGGGTAAAAAAAAAAAAAGAGGACTTGGTTGGATATTGCATGTTTCAAAAAAGAATTCTTGTTTTTAATTTAAATAAAATTGACTTCATAAATTCTGAGTAAGGAGGAAAAGGATGGGAAAATCAGGGAAAACCCTCCACAAATAC